TCCATCCAAGCCTATTTTTCGTCTTTTCTAATGTTTATTTAAATAAAACGACTATCAGATAGATCTCTGACGACCTTGTTTCTTCCCATTTAGACGCAACTATGTGAAGCATCAGACGCTTCGACAATTTTGCGATTGGGACTGATATAACCCAAATACCGCTCTAACGTGTGATTCTCCCAGCTCTCAAACGAACAAACAAACCAGCCAGCTGATCTCACAACACCACTCCGAAATATTCGATCTGGAACGCAAATACATCAGCATAATGCCGTGAGAAATTTTGTTCATGATAGAAGAACGGCGTATGCCTTGCTTTCAAGCTAGTAGCAGTAGAAGAAGTAGCAATGTTGTGATGTACTACTCATATTTATGAGTAGTATGTACAATAATGCGGTTGGTTGTTTCTTTCAACGATCAGAAAATAACAAGACCACTGAGAACGAATTGCTCTGTTCGAAATGATAGCCACGGCCTGTTCCATTCATTACCCTATGTGCTGCCGGGAATTGCGATGATATGTTTTAAATAAGATATCTTGTTGTATGTACGCCAAATTATTGATGTGCTTAGTGTAATCCGCAATAAACGACTATCCTCGGCCAGGCACCACATTGTGGAACTAAAACAGCAATATTAATAACAATAATAATATTATTAATAATAATCATAATAGGAGTAGCAGTAGTGATAGTAGTAGTAGTTGTAATACGGGTCAGTAGACTCAGTGAGCTTGGCTACGTCTACCAATTGTCCGAACATAATCCACAGATGAGAAGCACACCGGGAAAAGTGGGTTACAATTCTTGGGGACGCACATACACACACACTGATAACTTTCTCACAAAGGGATACACAGACACTTTAATCTGACACAGCTGGATCAGGTACAGAACCAATTCTGTTATTTAACTGCGTTTCTTTTTTGGACCAATTCTTCCACCTGAGGACCCGAGTGTTTTTGTCCCCTGTTCTTTGACAAAGAGTACCACGGTGTCGCCTGTCGCCTCCCCCCAAAGAAAAAAATCCAAAGAATGTACAAAAATAGTGTCTAATTTGATTTGCATAAATTTCCAGTCCTGTTTGTCTCTTGGTTTTTGCATTCGCAAAGAAGCAGTGACAGACCCTCAATGAGTGTGCCAATGAGGGAGTAGTGAGTGAGTCTGGGTAGATAGGGGAGGAGGTATCAAGCCACTGAGCGGGTTGGTTACCTGCTTGTGTCGTTGTGCCCAATGACTGTTTCAAACTTTGCAACCGATGTGTTACTGGCCGGGTTCAAAGAGGGGAAACGAGTCCATTTATCACAGTTAAGTTGACAAATCACTGCAATGACACATTCCCTCTTTCCAGTTATTCGTGAGACGAGGATATTCGTGGACTATTCCACCCCTTTTAACGATAAGTAGAAACGAGAATCCGAAACAATTATTACATCAAATTTTTCTGTTTTTTTTGTGTGTGAATCCATTTTCTAATAATAAGGAAGCACAATGCTTAATGGAAACCAGATATGACCAACTCTTAAATTTTCCATTTACTTGTACCAAAGCGTTTATAAAAGAATTAGCAGAACATTCAGTTTTTATTTCAACTGAAACCCGTAAAGATGAATTGTTTCAAGTCGGTGTGTGAAACAAATCATGCCAATTTATTCCTTTGCATAGTAATTGATTAGTGATTCTTGCTGTCGAAAAAATTCAGAATTCAACGTTCTCGAGGCTAAATTTGCGATGGTGGTGGACCGCTTGTAACGTCACCAAATTATCACCCCGGAGAACGCGCGTGTGTTTTCGAATCCTATCACTATTGCTTGAGTTTCCCCATTGTGTGTTGTATGGCAACCTTATGACTGAGAACTGTATCTTTGTAAAATCAATAAAATGAAGTAAAGCAAAAGTGAAAAAAAGGATCAATAGACTGCATTGAATCAATTTATTGAGGCCGCACAACGCTTTGCAAAGATAGTCTGCGCAATCTGCTGATTTTTCGACCACGCATTTACGCGGTAATATGTACTCAACTAAATTTTTAACCCTATACAAAGATTTCAACTGGCCATTTTGGCTCGTAGAAACTAAAGACCTGATAATTTAATTGAAGGTGGAGTGATACTTTATTGACCGTAAACAAATCAATAAAGTGATTTATATTGTTTGAAATCCATACAATTTTTAGGTCTCAAAGGTAAATTGCTGAAACTGATTTTTTTCTCTCTGATGGCGCTTGTGACTATGTCTACTGTGCCTACCTAGTTGATCCGGACTGGTTCTCTGTCCAATTTTATTCAAAT